CATGGTAACTATTATTAGTAACTGTTATTTTTAACACATAGGGTTATTAGTTAGGCACTGTGATTTTCTCGTTTCATCCTCCCAGCCACCTCATGTGTTAGCTCAGCGGTTCCCAAACTTGTCTGCACACTGGAGTCACCTGCGGGGATTCGAAAATCTTGAGCGCTGCATCTGGTCCTGAGAGGTTCGCATTACTCGGGCAGGGTGAGGCGTGAGCTTGGGAGGGTGTAAGAGAGCCCCAGGTGATCCTAAGGAGCATACAAGGAGGGACTACTAAGTCCGCTTCTATTTTACCCTCTGTTACTGATGTGGCAGTTGAGGAACACTAAGGTTAGTGACTGCCCGACATCACCCAGCTGATAAAGATGTAGCTGGGATTTGAATCCAGCTCTAAGCCCAGAGCCCAGACTTTTAACTATTGAAAATTTGGGATCTGCTTTCGCCCCACCACCACCCATTCAACATCATATTGTGAACCTATTTCTAGGTTAATAATAGAACTCTACATTATCGTTTCAGTAACTAGAGTAGTCCACCGTATCGATGCATCAGAATGCAAGTGTCGCCATTTTTTCCCACTATAGAAAATGGTGCAGTTACTGTCCTTATTGATACATTTTTGTGCACATCTTTAATTATTTCCTTAGGATAAATTCCAAGAAAAGGAATTGGTGGGTCAAAAGGTAAAAAAATATTTTAAAGCTTTTGATAAATATTGCCAAACTGACATTTCCACCAGAAGTATGTGAGAAAGTCTGCTTCCGTGTCCTTGCCAACACAGTTTTGTCATTTCTTTTTAATCTTTGCAAATTTTACTGGAGAAAATGGTATGCCATTTTAGTTTCCCTTTCTTTCACTAGTACTGAGAACATTTCTTCTTGTTTATTGGCCTTTTGGATTTCTTCTTTTATGTATTTTCCTATCCCCGTCCTTTTCACATTTTTCTAGTAAAATACTTGTATTTTTCTTATTGCTCTGTAAGTCTTATGTATTAAGGATAATGAGTCTTGTTCCAATTGCTTCTAGTTTTCTCATTAACTTTATTTATGGTTTTCAGCCAAAATTTTAAGTTTTCATATAGTTGATTATATTAAGTCTTTTTCTTTATTATTCCACCTTTGATGTTATGCATATAAATACCTTCCCTACCTCAAGATTATATATTTTCCTATATTTTTTAGATCCTTTATCATTCCTCTTCTTCATTAAAAAACTTTTTTTTTTTTGAGGAAGATTAGCCCTGAGCTAACATCTGCTGCCAATTCTCCTCTTTTTGCTGAGGAAGACTGGCCCTGAGCTCACATCTGGGCCCATCTTCCTCTACGTCATATGTGGGATGCCTACCACAGCATGGTGTGCCAAGCGGTGCCATGTCCGCACCCAGGATCCGAACCGGCGAACCCCGGGCCGCTGAAGCAGAACGGGCACACTAAACCGCTGCGCCACAGGGCCGGCCCCAAAACTTTGAATTCTTTAGTGCAGCAGTTCCCAAACAGGATTACACATCAGAATTCCTTACAGAGCTTCTTTAAATGCTCAGTTCTTAAGACTGGATCACAGTTTAGGGGGATGAGACCTGAGCAGGAATATTTTTAAAAGCATCACAGGCAATTCTGAAGCATCTCCTCCTTTACTGAGAAACACTATGTTAATCCTCCTAAATTTATGTCGGTGTCATTTTTCCAAATTACTTCAGCACATTTGTTAAAGAAATAATTTCATGAATTTGAAATGCTGCCTTTCTCCAGTTGGTAAGCTCCATGAAGGCAGAGATCATACCTGTTTTTACTGATCACTGGATCTCTGGGGCCCTGCATAGTGCCTGGGGCACAACTGGTGCTTAATAAATGTTAATTGAATAAATAACACCTGACAACACAAGTCTCCAGCCTCATCCCACCCCAAACTGGCTTGTCTTCTCTTCAATATTTTCTTGACCATTAGGCCAATAAAACTGATGCCATTAATGATGACCCTGAGTTATCCAAAACATTAAATGATGCCCAGTACACTCTGTTTAAAGTGGCCAGGAAATGTATTAGAGGGCTCCATCAAATAAAGTCAAAATCTTCAAGGTGGCCATGTTTGAGAGGTATGGGAATGCTCATCCAGTTCTTCATGGAGGAACCAGACAGCACTGACCGGAAAGGCTCAGTGGACTTGGCTTCCTCCCGCTCTCAGAGTTCCTCAGCTAGCTCCAGAGACTGACTTGGAGCTTGCTGGAGCTGAGGCTAGACCCACAAACTCCCTCTTCCACTAGCCCGTGGAAAGAAAATTGGAACAGGAATCAGAAGACCTGGGTTTTAGTCCTGTCACTACTATCACCCTCTTTGACCATGGGTATGTCACTTCACCTCTGGGGCTTGAGCTAGATGTTTTCTAAGGATCTCTTCAGATCTCCACCCCTACCTAAAGACCCAAACAGACTACCACGGGGCAGGGCTTCCAAGGACAACCTGAAATTCCCTCCACAGAACAGAGGCCCTGTCCCACCCCAGGCTACAGCAAAATAACAGTGATAATTGTAGTAGTAGTGGGAACAACAGCAGCTATTGCTAAATTTTACTATGCACTTATTATATGGTAGATAATATTCTAAAAGTCTTACTACTAATAATAATGGCACACACTTATACGGCACTTACTATGTTCCAAGCGCTTTGCATATATTAACTCAATTAATCTTCACAACAACCCTATTATTATCCCCATTTTACAAAGGAGGAAACTGAGACACAGAGAGGTTAAGGGACTTGCCCAAGGTCTCACAGCTACCAAGTGATGGATCCAACAGAGTTGAACCCAGACTCATACTTTTAACTACTATACCCTATTGCCACTGACACTATCGTCGTCCTATGCTTCTCACTTCAGAGGGTGCACAAAATAAGGAATAAGTTGCAATCACTTATATGGAATACTTCCCTCTTCACTAATGCTAGAAAAATTAGGTTTTACTTCAATGTGATTTCAAGCAGATCAGATTTCAGGGCCTGAGATAGCAAAATATGTTATTTATTAAGAAAATACATTTGATTAAGAATTGTTATCCACTAAAATGTTTTTATTATAAAACAAATAAATCATTAACTACTAATGGCATTTCCATTAAATGTAGAGAAAAAACACAAGCTCTTTATGCATCATTAGGAGCAAAACTTTCAATCCCTACCTGCACAAACTTCAGTCCCATACTTTCAGAGCTGTCTTTTACTCATTGACCTGACAGTCCACAGGTGTCTCAAAACAAAACAGGCCAAACCCAACTCAGTACACTAACTTCCCACCATCCCCATGCCCTTCTCACCTCCTACCATGTTCCCCATCCCAGTGAACAGCACCACTGGCCCCAGGCACCCAAATTGGGTGTCAACCCAGGCTTGGTTTCCCCCACAATCCAGTCACAGAACATTCCTAGAATTCATCCCATTCTCTCTATCCTTGCTGCCCCTGCTTCTGCTCAGACCCTCATTATCTCTTCCCTAAACCACTATACCAGAAACCACCCAACTGGCTCTTGGCTTCCTTTCTCTCCAGCTCCAACTCAACCGCAACACTGCTGCCAAAGTAATCTTTCTAAAACAAAATCTGATTATGTTACTTCCCTGTTCAGAATCTTTGTCTTCAGGATAAAGTGTAAAATCCTTCCTAGAACATACAAGGTTCTTTGTTATCTGGCCTCCGACTACCTTCCCTGCTTCATCTGAGGTCGTGCCCCACACATCTCACACGAGACAAACAGAGCAAGTTGGAAGTTCCCAAACAGTGCTTCTCTGTCTGCCCAGAATGCAATTCTCTCATTTGCCCATCTGGCAAACTCCCACTCATTTTTTTCAGACCAGCTCAAAACTCAGAGTTCATCATGCTTTGCTCTGGACTTCCATCGCATTTTGCACCTCTCGCTATCGTAACACTGATCCAACACAATTATTTTCTATATGTCTGTCTTTCCCTTAAGACACAGAACCCTAGCGTAGGTATTCATCTCTGTATCCTGTTTGTTGAGTGAAAGAATGTCTCAGGATTTAAACGAGAATATCTAAACTGCTCCTGACAAATGCCCATTGTGTGAGTCAAAGCAGGCATACAGGCCGAATCCCATTTCAACAAATATCTTTAAATTGACAATCCTCATACATCAAAAATACTTGTTACATGTGTGCACCTACATTCTTGAAGCCATTACCAACAGCAGACAGTTTTAAAAGATCCATTAGACCACCAACAAACCTACCTGGTGAACATTTCTCGATATTCGAGCTCTTTCCTTCTACTCCATCTAAGTGGTCCTTAACCTTTTGTGGGTCACAGACCAATTGGGGTAGTGTCTGTCTATCATCTCTTAAACCCACACTCCCTTTTGATAAACAAAAATCCCACACACCCCTGGAGATTCTGATACTCTCCCAAAAGGCACAATCCTCAACCTCACCAAAAATAAAAAATAACTTTGTATGTGATAGGAATTTACAGGTTCACAAGAGATGTCATCCCTCAGGCAAAATATCACTGAGCTTTGCTCTTGGGGGGTTCATAGTATTAAAGGAGGCATTTTCCTTCTATCACCAAATATAAACATTATAACATTAAGTATGCTTCAAAGAGGAAGCCAGGGAAGCGCTGACATCTGTCTCCCCCACCTTTGAGAACCTTATGACAGAAATTTGCCGGAAACAAATGAAAAACACAAATATAAAAAATATCCTCCATTTCCTCACATATAACCCTCACAAGCACATGTTCAAACAAAGGGAGTTCTTTGAAAATGCTTCTGGCACTACATTTTCCTGTTACTCCCCCACCCCTACCCCCACTTTAAAATAATTTGAACTTCTAGCTAGCAGCAATTTCTTTTAAACTAATATGCTTTGTCCTTGTGAAGACAAAGGGTTAAATTAAAGAAACAGCTGGCTGCCTGCCACTGGCTTGGGGGGTTGGGTAGGGACGGAGGATAGAGAAGGAGGAAAAACCAGTTAGAGAAATAAGTGCCAATGTCTTACCCTGCCACATGGCCATCTTGATCCTATCCTCTCCCACGTTGGGGCCACAGGCTCAGAGCTTCCCAGGGCCCCCCAGTTTTGGAGGGAGGCTTGACTTGGACGTAGATGGAACAGCAGCTGTGGGGCCTTGCTTTCTGCAAGATGCTCCAGCCCTGAACCTGAAAATGTAAACAGAAAAATGAATACCTAAATGAAAAAAACATTTCCGATCCTTGAAAATTATCTCCTGTCCCTCTCTGAACCTCTCTTTCAAAGATATGCGGACGCAGGCAGTGTCAAGTTTCCCTGAGCAGCAAGGCATCACTGAAGACAGAATGGGGAGACCTAGAGTCAGTTAATACTGCCACCGAGTGCGGTCCAATTCAGCACAAATCACTGGATCTTCCGTACATGGGTTTTGGAAGCTCAAAGGATGGGGGGTTGGATGAGATAACTGTTACACGTCTTTTCTATCTCGAAGTTTCACGCTTTGGAGAATGAAGAATGGCATAATATCCAGTGCCTGTCCCAATCCCCCAATTTTACATTAAAAAATAGTAGAAAGAGAGCAAATTTTGTGACTAAAGTTTTAAAATAGATCTTGTATAGGAAAAGAAAAGAAAGGAAGCATGATAAAAAGTCAAGAGCGATGCCCTCTGGGCTATGGTTCTTCACCTCCGCTTCGTTATACTTCCCCACACTTTGCCAACGTCCTATAGGGAGCACACATTGCTTTTATAATCTGGAGGGAAAGGAAGAAAAGGAAAAGAAAAGTGTAAAAATAATACTAATTTAAGTAAAACTAAATTAATTCAGCTAATTCCTATTTTTAAAACGTCAAATTCAGTCTTAGTACAATACTATTGGCAAGGATACGAAAGGCACCAGAAATGGGAGAAAAAAACGAATGGTCTGACTACTTCATTTGATTCAGAGGTTTAATGTATTAAAACACTTTGCTTGTCCATTTAAACAAGTTCTTCATTAATAAACTGGTCTTCCTTGTGTAGCATACAAGCCAATCTGCTTTTTCTAAGAAAAAGTCCTCACCTTTTTGACCTGGTGAACATCGAAGTAGACTGCTATTTCCATAGCTTTTCTACAGGCAACACCTCCGCCCCGAAGTGAAAGCGCTCATACACACAGGCTGAAAGCTAATACGAACTTCAGAGCCATTATTTTGGCCTTCTCTAATGACTTTTTTTTTTAAGGACAAAAGTGTGAATGTGTACACTAGTCCTAAAACAGCAATAGAGAAAAGACAATGCTTTGGATACGGAAAGGTTCGCGAAGTCCAAGAAAACTAGGAACTCACAAAGTCCCAGGATGAATTCACCAGGAAAAAACGCTCCGATGGCTTATCTGGAACCTGGAACAGTTTTGGTTTGGCTTTTTTTCTCTCTTTCTTATTTCGCGTACAGTTAAATAGTACTGATCCGCGCCTGGTGAGACCAGACGAAATTTAACATCTCTGAAGTCAAACCCGGGTAGTTGCTAATAAATGTATGAAGTTTATGTAAAGCAGATTCTTTCTGGCTTTTTATGCTCTACACTTCTAGATTTCCCTCACTTATTCGGGGTAGCTTACAGTGACGTTATCACACGGGCATACGTACAACTTCACTTGGCACTCCAGGAAACTGATTTGCTCTGAAACGTTAATAAAGGTAACGCGCATCAATGCGAAGGTAAAGCTTTCCCCTTGGGGTGAAGGCGCTCAAGCGCCGGCCCGGAAAGTCTGGAGAGAACCAGCCACCCGCGTTAAGTGGGAAAAGGAAAACTCGCAGCAACTACTTTTCCAAGAGTTTGGAGTCCAGTTCGCTAAGACCCACACAAACCTGCGAGTCCAGAGCAGGAGGGAGAAGAACGGGGCCTCGACAGAGCTTTACCAGCCAGAGCCACCCAGCCTCGGTCCTGGAAAGGGGACGCCTGCAGCTAACCTCCCCCATTCAAAAGCTGGGCAGGCTTGGCGCTGCTCCGCGAGAAAACTTCGCTGGGACAGCGCAGGGACCCTTGCTCGGAGAACAGGGCTGGGCTCCCGGGAAGATGCCGCCCTGCACTGGCTAGAACTAGCCGGTCTAACACCTCCGAGTGCCAGGCGGCGCCGGCCGGGCACGGGGAACCCCCACCTCCAGGGGACAGAGGCAGCAGGGGAGCGCTTCCCCTGTGTCGCTGCGCCCAGGGGGTGCTCCGGAGGTGGGCTGGGGGCCAGCGGCCCGCGAACGACCTGTTGGAGAAGGGACAGCCCATCTGTCTTTACCTGTCGCCGAGGTCAGGAGCGGCGGAGCCGGTGGCCGCCGCTGGCGGGCCGAGCGCTCAGTTGGCTCTGGCGTCTAGGACACCAAGTTGAGTTAGCGCCCCACGTAGCCGGCAGAGCTTCATTCACAGCCCAGCCGGGAGGAGGGGGAGCGGAGCGGGCGCGCGGCTCATGTGACAGGCGCCTCGCAAGTATCGGCCAAGCACAGCCGACGTCTGCGCGTGCGCGGCCGGCCAGCCCTCTCCCCGCGCCTCGGCCGGCCCGGGAGGGGTGATGCCAGCCGGGGAGGCGGCCAGGCGGAGGGAGCAGCGAAAAGGAGGGGCTGGGAGGAGTTTCCGAGTGCGCAACCGCAGTAGGTCGGCCCTGCTCGCTGCCATATTTAATGAGGACTGGGCGGATCCTAACCCAGGGCTGGGCGTGTCAACAGCTTTTGAAAAAGAAACGCTCCATTATGTTTCGTTGTTTCAATCCTGCGGTACGGTTTTTTGGTTTTGTCCTTAGAATGAAACTGTTTATCCTGAGCTTCTGGCCCACAGAATAATTAGTAGCGGGAATCTAATACTAATTACAGTATTACGTATTTTAAGCCTCTAATTATATGCCAGACACTGTTCTAAGCCCTTTACTTTTTTCATCTCATTTAATGTCCACAATAACCCCACCAGGGTACGTACTATTATTTCTCAACTTTTATTCATAAGAAAACAGAAGCACAGAAAGGTTACGTAACTTGTCCGAGCTCACATAATAGTAGAAGTAAGAATAGTGATCGAATAGAGTGGTGCTTGTTACAGCCAATTTGATCCTCATTGCAACACTGGAAACTCTACAGTATTGTCTCTATTTTAATAATTGCAAAACGGAGGCTCAGAAAAGCAAATATCACAGGACGAGCAAGTGGTAGAGCTGGGATTCCAACCTAGGCCTGCTTGACTCCGAAGCCCTTGCTCTAGGGCTGGAAGAAACCGCCCCTAGTTTTACAAAAGGGAAAACAGGCCAGCGGCTGCGTTAATTTACTTAAGATGATCCAGCAAATTAGTTATTGGCTGCGCTGAGACTGAAATCCATATTATCAATCCGGATAATCTAACTAGAACTCCAGTACTCTAATTCTGAGTCTACTGTACTGAACAATTTTGAATATGTATTTTGGGCAAGCTAAGTGGTCAGGGACACAAAAGCTGTATTCTAGCCAGGTCAGCATAAGGCCACCAAGAACAAATCTGTAATCCGAAAAGTTAGGCTTTTTGACCCATTGCAATGAGGGAGACCACACAGCAGAGAAAGCGTGGGGCATCTCACCAAAGAGAAAGAGCCATTATTAGATTTGGGGGAAGGGTGGAGTTTAGGTGAATTTTAAACAAAGCATTGTTTTGGTAAGCTTAAAGCAGGGCTGTGTGAAGGGGTCAACATCAGGTCTGGACTGCAAAGTGAACCCAGAGTCTTGTTTCCTTGGGAACCACAAAGTAAAGCTAGATGTGGGATGTGTGTCCAGATACCCCTTATCTGGAGCTCTGCACCTGGTTTGGAAATCAAGGCTGCTTCTCTGTGTCTGAAAAACTTATGTCCTCCAGACAAATGGGGGATGTTTTATTCTCACTGATATGATTTCAAGCAGCAAAGTCTCTGATAGTCTGTGATTGTAGAGAATGAAGTTTCTCAGTGAATAAAAAAACATGGTGGTCATTCAAATAAGGGGGTGGTTATCCCCTAACAGCTGCAGCATGTCTTTGGGAGAAATATTGTTCCCTGTTAAATTTGCAGCTGGCTTTATCTGTGTCTGTTATTCCAGCCTGATGAATGGCCGGATTTTTGCTTTCTCTGTCCAAGCTAATTTTTCCTTTCTCATCTGGTAGCATTTAGTCTCTGCCTTCAGGCACTCACGGTATGGGGGGGAGAGATGCCCACAAGTAACTAGAAAGAATCGGAGCAGTTTGGGCTACGTCCTCTGATAAAGGTAAATCCAAGTGGAGGTAACACCTTGTGCAAATTTGTGCAGGCAGGAAATCACATATGAGGACCTGTGACTAGTCCTGCATGGTTGAAGCTTAGGGTAGGGAAGTGTAGGGGAGTTGTGGGAGATATAATCAGAAGGTAAACTGAGGCTCAATTTTGGAGGATCCTGAGTGTTGGACTGAGACTTGTGCTTAATTCAGAAAGTGATTGAAAAAGAATTAAGGTTTTTGAGCAAAGCAATCTCTTCATTGGAACTCTTCTTTTTGTTCAACTGACATATAATTGATATATAACATATTAGTTTCAGGTGTACAACATATAATGATTTGATATTTGTATGTATTGCAAAATGGTCACCACAATAAGTCTAGTTAACATCTGTCACTCTTCTATACGAAGGTAAATATGGGGTCATTGTTCAAGGAGAGGTTGGTTTGTTTGCTTTGTTTGTTATTGCAGGATAGGAGAAACCAGAACTTATTTGTAGATTGAGCAAGAAGAGCCACTGGTGAAACAAATTGAAGACTCAAAAAGGAGGGGATAAATAATGGAGTAGGATACTGTGGACGTACAAATGAGATGCAAAATACAAGCTAACCTTGGGAAAGACTCCTCTTCTTCTGAGACAAGAAAAAAGAGTTGAAGGGTAGCAATAGTTGGAAGCAGACTTGTCATGAAGCCTCCTCTGTAGACAAGCATATTGGCTTTACTTGGAATATAGCTTTGTTTGGGAGAGTTTGGGCGGGAGTGATTTATGGCGAGCGTGAGAGGGCTGCAGTACACCAACATTACCACTTGGTGTCGCCACTGACCGGTGACAGCGCGGAGGGCCCCTGTTGGGGATTTTAGGACTACATTTCAAAAAAGAACATTTTATCTTTTGCGAATTGCAAAACAAAACAGTTATGAGACTGGGCTCTGGAGTCAGACTGCCTGGGCTCAGAACCAACCAGACTCAGATGCTTGCTAGCTGTGTCACCTCGTTTAAGTTACCCGATTTTACTCTCCTACAGGTTTCTTATTTGTAAAATGGATAAAGATAAAACGTATTAATCGATGTAAAACGGGTAGAAAAGATTAAATGCTCTATCAATGTTAGCTAGTATTACTATTGAGGATGATAAAGAAGGCTCGTTCAGCCTTTGGATCCCCAAGTTTCAGGAGGTATTTATGTGGTAAGTAGTAAATGTCTGTACAAGACCTGCCCAAGTGAAGCGGTTAGTGTGTGGTGATAATGAGGCAAAGTTAATAATTGAATCGAGAGGTCTAGATTCTGTTAACTCTGTTCTCTCCCCCATGAGAACCTTAACCAGGTGTCCTGTACGTGTGTGCACATGGTCACAGTGGAATTGGCCAAAAGAGTGTAGATAGGTCAACATAAATGAGTCCTCTGCTCTCCTCCCCCTTCCTTGGAAAACATTGCAAACATGTTCCCACTCCCCCCACAGTGGTCAACAGACTTTTGGTCAAAAGCCAGTTCAGGCCTTACAAAGCAAAGAGTAAACACAGTGTGATTTTAAGAGTTAATTACAAGGAAAGAATAAAACGGTGAGTTTCTCTGTGTAATAAAAGATAGCACTTTAGAGTTAATTTTGCGAAAGAAAAACCTCCAGAGCAGTAAATCATGGTGGCACCTAAACTGTCATGTCTAAAGAAGCTTTATCTTTAATTTTGAAATTGTCGTTGCAAATAGGGACTAAAATACTTACATGAGTACACACCATGTAAAGTAGTAACTGAATGTTTCTGGTATTGTTCTTATTTATTGGTTCCACATTTTTTGGAGCCCTTACCATTGTGCCAGGCACTATGTTAGCCCCTAGGAATACTGGTTTTAAAAATAAAATATCTGGGCTGCACAAGGAATGCCTAGAATAGTTCTAGAAAAATAGGACAGAATAAAAGGAAGTGAATAAAGTTCTCCAGCTCAGGGTATCTATCGAGAGAGTAGGTGAGGAAATTCTGAAAATAGAGTGATTTAGGATCATTTGCAATTGCCCTATACCTGGAGAGCTGAGTATCAAAATTAACAAATGGCTTCTATGCCAATAATGGTAACTAACCTCATGATTGGAGAAATACTAATGAAAACTACAGTGAGATACCATTGGTAAAGTATAAAAGTATTGATAATACACTGTGTTGACAGAGCTGGGGGAGAGTCCTCTCATAAACTGCTGGGGGGAAGGCAGTTAGTCAATTGAGAGCAATTTTGCAATAACTATAAAAATTACCAATACTTGAGACTTTGCTCTCAAAATTCCATTTCTAGTAATTTCTCCTCCAGTTATGTTTACATAGGTGTAAACTGTTGTGTGTTCAAGATTATTCACTCTAGCATTGTTTGTAATAACAAAAAATGAGAAACAGCCAGATATCCATCAACAGAGGACTGATCAAATAAATAGTGGCACATCCACCTAATGAGAAAGTTCTTTATGTATGTATGTGGAAAATTTTATGGAAAAACCAAGATGTGGAGCTGTGTACTTCCTCAATTTTGTGCCGTGGAAGTGTATTACCTATTCAATTATATATCTTAAAAAGCAATATAGAAAACTTTTGAATAGCCTGTCAAAGATAGTGTTTAGGTTGAAGAGCCAGTTGATTAGCTTACGGCCTTAGTGCCAGCTGAAGAAAGACCCCGTTAGCCTGTGAGCATGTATTATAAAGTCTATGATATGCAAACACAGTCTTTATAGTTCTCTGATTGGGCCCAGCATAATTTTTGACAAATGGTTTTCATGAGAAATTTTACTTTTTAGAAATCCCATATCACATTGCCCTGTATTTGAGAGTAGTCCGATTCTCTCTAGATTAGAGCTGCTAGTATTCTCAGGGAACAAATGTGAACGTTTGTTTAGCGAGTGGTTTTGAGGCTTTGCAGATCTCTCTGTCATCTGTAAGTCCATCCAGCTCTGCACAGCCTTCTGTTCCATGAAGGGGTTGAAACATGTGGAATGTGGCAGTGTGATACCTGTTCACCCACTAGCGTGAGAGCTCTTTGAGGGCACAGACCGTGTCCTACACTTCCTTTATATTCATCACAGCAGGGCTCTTCAAATCATTTGTGAGGAAGGACCATTTTCCCCCAAATCCATCCTGTACCGATACTTTTATAAAATACAATAAAAATGAATTACTAGAAAAATGAAATCAAAACAAAAACATACAAAATACAAGCCCAATTCTTCTATGATTATATTCAACAGACATAAAATTACTCTGTCAAATTGTTGTTAAGGTTTTGA